TAGAAACCTACTTCCCTCCCCCGGCTGCTAAAAAATAAAGCTCTTCCTCATAGCCTGTCTAAAAAAATAGTAAATAAAGCTCTTAGCTGAACCCCTGGAGCACTTTGTAAAGAAATCAACTCTATTTAATACATGAATTAAGAGGTGATCATGGAGTGAACCATGGCCCAGAGGACTGGCAGTTGCTAAGTATGGCGAGAAAGCGCCGACATTTATGCTCAGAGTAGCACACATTACGGAAATAGCTTAACTACCGTTGTGTGCTCAAGACACATAACCAAAACCCAGGTGAGGTTATGTGCGGTTTAACAGTCTGCACAACCCCGGGCTTGCTTCTTACTAATCTGACTGAGGCCAGCATCCACTTGAGAAGTTTCCAAAGAAAATCCAGGCACGGCGGGAAGTGGCTTTGGCAGCGCTTCAGCTGGCGAGCTGCCCTCTGAGTCAGTAACGAACTAAGTCCTAATGCGGCACGAGGAAGATCTTTGGGCAAAAGATAAATCTGAGGCACGGGCTATCTGCTGCCATTTCTGTACCACGTTGCCACTTTCTGCCAGAGGCAGAAATGTCCTGATCTGGCTTCATCAACAGGCATCGTTAATAAATGCATGCTGCTGATGTAAAATTCCCTGCTGAAGTTTGTTGCGCTCAGGATTCCCCATCACTCATGTATTTTATGTACACTGCGTATGTTCAGATTCCCTCCGTAAAACGTGGTTATTCTTTTGTTACATGTTATGCCAAAAAGTTGGAAATGAAAGCCTCGACACTATGACCTATGTTTGTTGCTTTTTTCAAAACAATGTTTCTGCAAGAACAACCTAAAAAAACCCAAGCCATGCAGGAGCCAATTCTGCAATTATATGAAGTTGTTCCTTTTGAAAATACATACCCCAAAGGCTGATTCTCTCAAGCCTTACAAGCCCCTTGTGTGGCCCTCTTTCTCCATGTCCTCAGCCTTAGAGAAAAAGATTATTTCAGGAGTGTCTTTGATCTGGAATGTGTCCCTCTCTACAGGAAAGCATCTGCTACAAGATGCTATAAAGGACAGTGACTCATGAATAATTGACCCATATTAAGAGAGATTTCTATAGCTGCTCTCAGGCATGAAAGAAAAACCAAGAGAACACTTCAGGGCTGCTAAACCTTAAACAGTCTTCTCCTTTGTATTAGACAGTCCATGTAAACAGGACAAGGCTATGAAAGAAACAGGGGGCTCCAACTTGCAGTGCTTTAGGAGGAAAACAACATTAAAAATGACACTCGGCTGGGCTAGCAAGAGTTAGTTGCAGCAAGCCCTTACTCTGCAAGAACGTGCAAATACCCCAGCAGGGTTTAGTGCCGCCGCGCTGCCGACGTTCCCCCAAGCTGCGCAGAGCCCCGTGCAGGAGCGCAAAGCTGGGGCAGCTCCGCAGCCTCGGCAGGCAGCCGTCTGCCGGCGCGCGTGGACGGCGCGCGACGGAGCGGCGGGGGCAGGAAGGAAACGATATTGCATGCACGATCGGTCCTGCGGTCACGGCGGCGTCAGCGAGGCAGGCAGGTTCTGCGGCAATAAGCAAAATGTGTCTGCGTAGACAGATAAATGACCAAGGCAGATAAATGACTGCCGCCCACCGACACTCGCGGGGATGGGATCCAGAGGAACGAGGCCTCACGCTGTTGATGGCGCTTCTGTAGTACAAGGACGAGTATTTAGGAAAGCAGCCTAGGGTCTGCCTTTCACAGCGTTGTGCTAGTCATTCTCGCTGATGACTGAACTAAAAATACATTTGCCTTTCCTGTAGTAGTTTGTAAGACTGCTCTACCTCCATTTGGCCAATGCCTTATCGCATCTTCCTCTGTCCTGGGTTGCTCTGGGAGTTCAGGACTAACTCAGCAGACCTGGAACCTGTTTGACGTACAGAGCCTCCACTGCCTAAAGCCGTATGTGGATTTCCCACTGCCCGCCTACACGCACCTAACTTCAGCTGTGCATTTGGCATCGCTTACAAGGCAGCCTCTTGCCTCGGCTTCAGCACCAGAAGAAAGCTGCTGTCGAGATAAAGTCTGAGTTAGGTGGGTGTTTCAGAGTGAGACTTTGCCCCAATATTCTAAAAAACGCTTGAGAGTTTTCTGATAGGTGCACTTAAATTTCTGACATCCTATTTGACTTGACAAATCCTATTTTACTGTAAATTTACACAGGCATTTTTTCCAATGGGAAATAAATTACTTTTAAGAATTTAATTTTAGTACAAAGGGAAAGCTATGTTATGTATTAGGCATGGTGAGTCTTTCCCCCCCCAAAAAAAGTAATTTTGCACAGGTAGATCTATTAAAACTAGCTAAAACTATGTATATTTCTGCAAACAAAAACCAGTCATCTTCTCATTTGACAGTCTTTGTGGCCTTGTTTTGATCCAAAACTCCATAATTTTAATTTTTTTCTTTTTTTCAGAAAGAAAACACACAACTAATGACATTCACATCAGCAGTCAACAAACAGATTTGTGTGGCAGAGAATGTATGAAAATGGGCTTCATCCATCCAATTGTTCGTCCAAAACCCTTTTACCTGTGGAGTAAGAAGTTTTTATAAAAAGTTTGAGACCCCTTGAAGCTGTTGCTCAGGCAAAACCTTTCTAATGCTTGCTGGAACCATCCAGACAAAATTGAAAGAAGGCTGTGTTTAAAGTGTGTGTATAGCTTTCACTGCTTCTGCTTTACTTGCACGTTAACAATAATCGGCTCCTTTGCGGTCAGGAGGGCTTCTTTGATGATGGATTTGCTTCTTCAATTTCAACTTTTCAAAAAGCTGTGCAGCAGCACATCTAACCTATGTGAAGATCTGTGTAAGTCTGGTACTTTAAAAACAGGAAGATGAGCAAGAAGAGAAATGTTCTTGAAATCTTGCTCTTGCTAACCTTACTCCAAATGGGCGAGACAGGGATGACAAAAAGTACAGTCTCTGTTACTCATCTTTGCTAAATTTGCACTTTGCCTGTCATTTCTCATCGTCACAGCTGCTTGCTCTCAGCATGGTGTTGGTGGATGCCACATGCAGCATGGCATAGTAATAACGAGAAATAAGCTACCAGGGGAAAAATATTCAAAATCAGTTTGCAAATGCGGTGGTTAATGTAGAGGGTGACCTGGAGGTGGGGGGTTCACAGGAAAAGGCCAATTTTTTTTCCTTCTCAGAGCTGTGATATGTTCAAGTGCCAAAATCCTGGGGGTGTTGAAGGGACTTTCCCAGGAGTAGCACAGAAATTTCACTCTCCCTTTACTTCCTCTCCCAGTGACCATGTCCTCCCTCCGTCCCTAATCCCCCAGAGCTCCCACCCCCAAAACACCTTTGCACAATTCTTGCTCCCCATAAGGAACAAGAGTTTTGTCACCCACTCCCACACAGCTGGAACTGCACCCCAAGGAACAGTGCAGCGCTTTTCCTGCCACCTTTTTGTCCTTCTCCCCTCCACAGAGGAAAACTAGTCAGTACCTGTGGTTACCAAAAGGGCTTGTATTTGACTAATCAAATCTCTTGCAACCAGAGGAGCCAGAACCTTGAATTGTTTAATAAGGCTAAGAAATAATTATTAGCTAATGGCCTAATATAGCATAAAATAAACCCATTAACTGCTGGCTTACAAAACATCCTGGTGTCTGTGTATGCTGAGGCAGAACACAGTTGTCAGAGGATTTAATTTCTTTCCTTCATCTACAGAAAGAGTAATTGGGACCAGCCCTAACCAGGATGATACACTGACCTCTATCCCTGCACAGCATTGTTTCTGTGTGCTGAAGAAACACTTGGTAATTGTCTCCTAATAATATTCCAGGCAACATGCTTCAAAACTACTTAGTACAGAGGCTGTTGTTGTTGACGACAAAGGCCACACAAAAGACATCCCTATCATGGGAAAAACATTGGGCAGCAGTATAATTTTGGAACTGATGTTGTAGAAAGGGTTGAACAACGCATCCACGCAGGTAGACATGATGGCCACATATCCTTTCTCTGCTTTAATCAAATACTCATTGTAAGATCTTCAAGAAAATACAGGTGAAACAATCACCTTGGATTGTTTGATGAAAATATTACATTCTCATAAAACATACAATCCCTCTTTTAAATATGCTTACTCCTTTAGACAGTATTTCCATGAGACATGTGGTCTGGATTACATTTATTTAAAACTGTTGAAGGCAAAGGAATAACACAAGCTGATCACGGGGTCTGTTCTAGGTCCAGCATGGTCTCCTCAGCATTTTTGGGAGAGATCCTCATTCTTCCCAGGCACCAAGGGTAGACCAAGACCCAACTGGTCTTGTCAGCACCCTGAGGGAAGAGCCAGATATTGCTGGGCGCTGCGCTCTCGCAAGTGCCATTGGTTCAGCGAGCCAGGAATAGTCATCAAGATCTTACTGGGCTGATCTTAAACTGGACCGACTTGTCTGCTTCTAGGGGGAAGCTGAGTTAATAGCTAACTCCCAGAGCACCTGGGGAGCCTATGGGAGGCTGGCAGAGCAGGCAAGGTCACACAGCATTCAGCTGAACCTGGCTTAGAGTTTGCAAGCAGAAAAAATGACCCCTGGGTCACCAGTACTAAAAACGACCCTCCTGCTGAATACTTCTCTCCCGCTGATAATGCCAGTCTTACTTTTTATCCTCGATGTGGAATCAAGTTTATTTTTGGAAGCTTATTTTACAGTTCAATGTCTTTTTAGCAATACTATTTCTAGTTACAATTTAGAGATGATATTTTCTTTCCTTCTGATTAATCTGTTAAATAAATATGCAAAGATATCAAGTGCTCTATATAAAAAAATACATACACACAACAAACAACCCCTCAAATAATAAAACCAAGATTAATAAAAATATGTACGATATTACACATATGAAATGGCCATCTAGTTCTGAAACTATAATGAAACTTAATTACACATGAATCACGTGAAATAATCTAAAAAGAATCAGCATATATAAAATAATGGCATTGCCTCTGTAAAGAGAACTTGAGCATCTCCCTATTTAAAAATATAAAAAGAAGCCAACCAGTGTTGTCTGTGCATTTATAGCTACTGAACATCAGATAAATTAGGAAGGAGTTTGTGGATTTCTCCATTAAACATCTGAATAGGAAGATGAATAACATGCCCCAGTGTTTTTCTTTTTTTTAAAGAAAAATTTAGCTTTCAAGAGAATGAAATAGCTCCTTTTGATTGAGACCTATCAACTAGGATTTAAAGAGAGGAATAATTCTTACTCTGGATCTCCATACTTAGTGAAATGAGTACATAACACCAGTTTAAACACAGCCTTCAACAGATCATTTTGATTTATAATGACAAATAGAAAAGCTTGCTTAAAAACATTACAGGAATTAAACAAAAATCAATGCACAGAGTCAACAGATTTCCTACTGCACAGTTCAGTATTATAATACATGAAAGGACTGAGACGTTTGACAGTGGACCACAAGTACTGATAGTGTAAATCACCTTGACCCCATTCGCTTCAGCTTGCTTGAACACCTTTGGACCACAAGCTGTGTGACTGTTCATAGGTGAAACACACTGACCTACATAAAGTCAGGAAACATCCTATGCGTACTTTAAAATCACACCTCATCTTGGGACCTTTTGCCCAGGCGTAAATTGCTCCTGAAGAGATCTGCCTGCAGATACCAGGGCACTGAGCAACTCAGTAGAACACATGGGAAACTGCTGGAGGGCTGTGACTGAGAAATATAATCAATAGTCTTGTGCTTTATGTTCCAGTAAAGATCAGTACTAGCTAATGTTAGTATTTAGCCAGCTGAATACTCGTCCTCCAGATTGCTTCAGATGGAGAACATAAAATAACATGCTTTAGCAGAACGGTTTCAAAGACAGGTGCTATGGTCGGTGAACAGAACACTCAACCCTGCTGCAGGATGTTCCCCATCCCACAGCTGACAGACCACTGGTTGCAATTACCTTAGATTGTTTTTACTTGCATTTTCTTGAGGCAGCCCAGTTAGAAGTTTTCATTCTCCCTCCATTCCAATACACTTTCTTAAAAATGGCACAGACCACCGGTAGTAAATAATTTTCTTTCTGATAATTCATATCAATATAATGCACAGCATCATAGCTTAATACAAATACTTTACGTAAGAGACACATAAGCACAAAACAAAAGCATATAACAATGCGGCTGCAGCTACTTTACTATATTACATGGCTGGGAGAGTTTCCTTTAATTTTCTTCAATCTTTTCTGTAGAATTTGAACTTCTGGTACCAATTAGCAAGCAACGTTTCTTTTGTATTTTTAAAAAGCAGAGGGAAAACCGTGGCTGAAATAAATAGAATCCAGAGGAAGTGAGCAAGATCATAGAAGGGCAACTGTTAAAAAATCAGCAAAGTGGTGTAACATAATAGTTATAGGGGAAACAAGTTTTACTAGGCTCAGCATCTCCTAAGTAAAATGGAGCAGAAGATAGAGACCTATTCGTCAGGAATAAAATACTGTCGTCTTCCCTAATAATCTCAAATTGCTTGATTTGTGCATGTGTGATAGAGCTGGAGTCATTCTGTTTTAGTCATTATCCTAACAGACTCATTGAAAACATGCACAAACTATGACCAATGAAGGAGGGAGGGGGAAGAGCAATGAACAACTCAAAAACTCAAGGATAACTGTACAGATTGTTAGGATAATAAAGTATAGAAGTTTATTATGTATCACCTCGTTTTCATCTCTTTATTCCCCCTCCCAAGAAGATTTGCTGTATGCCCATAGACATTTAAAAATAGAGATAAATAAATTTTGTCCTTCTGGGTTTCCGTCATTGCAGACCAAGCCATAAATCATTATGGTGGTTTATACTGGCAGACTCCGAATGCACCTACTGCTCTTCCTGATTGGAAGGCGTTTCTGAAGGATTCTGGTGTTTTAGATATTGCATAGGAGGTCTTTTTGGTTTAAACTTGATTTTTTGCTCTTGACATTTGTTCCTCACTTACTCTTGTACCATTGGCAAGTTTAGTACCTTAAATGCCTGTGAGATAGAGTGACTGGATACTTCTGTAAGTCCACACAGTGAAGACCCTCCATCTGGGGAACAATGATGTAAACTTGCATCCCTCCTGACACCCAGGACACAGTGAGTGTCCTCTGTGTAGGAACTGGGAACTGAAAACATTATGCAACTCTTGGGGGCTTATTTCAGAAAGCGAATGTCAATTTTGTAACTCAGACATCGTTTTAAAGTGATTAAAAATGAATAAAACTTATGTTTAATTATGGTCAAAAGACATCAGTAGCACAGTGCATCTATGAATTCCTGTCCAAGTTCCATGTGATTTTGATTTCCCCAGCTCTGATCTACTTGGCATCTTGGTACCGTTACACTCCACTCTTCATGTCAAGCTCCTGATGATTCTGTGTTTCATTAACAGTCAGGAATTCGTCACATGGTCCTGTTTGGTCATTTGACTGTTCTTTATGAACCAAGTGCACCATTTCTTGTGATTTGCTGGCATCTCCATTTAATCCACTTGTCTTCCTATCCTCCACTGCCCCTTTGCCATTGTTAATCACTAACTTTTTCTTCTGCCCACATCTAGAAAGAAATGAAAAGAACATAATTACTATGACTGGAGACTAACAGAAATAAGAAAAAAACTGAAAGTCAATATTTAGAAAAAGGTGCTTGGAAATGAAACTTGTGCCTGCCAGTGCAGACTTATATGATGCAAAGTGTAAAGTTTCTCCATATTGCATATTTTATTTTTGAAAGCATCCACCATTATATGCATAAAATTTGGCAGGAGCTCACTTAATCGATTTATGTCTGTTGTTACTACAGATAGGAATAACATTCATTACTGAAAGCTAGAAAAGATTTTCTAACATTTGGATATATCCACATTAATGAACTTTGTATGTATTCCACTATAAGGACAGGGTCATTCTAAATCCAGACTTGAGACCACATCTTTGAAAATGCTCAAGTTCTTGAGAAAGCACTTTGTATTAGCTTGTCAGGCCTGGAAGCCTGCCAACAGCAAGGAAATACAGATAAATACTCTTGCTGCTATCAACAGCATAGTTTCTTACGATATTAAAGTAGGAAATAGCTACTGTGCTTTTAAAGTTACACTCATTGCAGTGCTGCCCAATAAACTCTGCATGTAGCTCTGAATGAACACACACACACACACACACACACACACTTTTAAAAAGTCACCAGTCCAAAACTGATGCATGCTGGTCAATGTGGGTTGGGTATTCTTCAGGGTAGTAAGAAGTACTAGTTACACAGCTGTCAGATTTGCCCCAGACCATGAAGATGGTTCTCTGGCTACACAGTGCTGAACATCCTACTTGTCCTTCAACAGTCTTGTGTAAACAGAATATACAAAGCACAGCTCTCTTAAGAGGGATAATGTCTCTGTGAAGTTATACTTTAAAGTGCTTTCTTCTTAAATGAAGCATATTTTGCCCAAATGACTACTTTGGCAGTTCAATTATACCATTATCCTTCTGAAATATTATTTTTTTCATGCTTACTGACCGATAGATGAGGGTTATTTTACCTGAAGTAGGTCAGTTCACTGTGCTAATGTTACATACACCCTGGGGAATGATTCCTGCTCTGCAGCCATGAAATGCCGAAAGAGGCCAGCGAGGAGCTGTGGAGCTCCACAGCCTCTCCAAAGAGCAGCTCAGAGTGTCTTTCCTGACGTGATGGTCAGGCTGGGCAGCCTCCTCTGTTGGGACCTGGAAGGAGATCCTAACACTTTTTACAACAGGCACCAGCCAGAGGCAGTCTTCATTGCAACAGGAGAAATAACTAACTAAATAGGACCACACTGAACCTTGGCCATCTTGGGTTTTGGTTTAGACAACTTATGACAACACCAATTTAAAAAAAAAAAAAAAAAAAAGAAATGCTCTAGCCAAGCAATTTGCTATTTACTGAGGAGGCCTAATTTCTTGTTTGAAATGCTTGCCATATGGATCTCCTAACTAGAAAGGCTAAATTTATTGATTTCTGAATCAGGGAAGTTAACTAGTTTGAAACTAAGGCCTATGCTGCTTTAGGCTTTTTGAGACAACCCGAATGAGACTGAAACTAGAGATGCTTCAGTTAGCATTCATTTAAAAAATGGTGTAAACGACAGCATTACACAAATAAAACCACAGATCGTTCCCACTTTTTAAATAAACGAATGCTTGAAACGTTCCCAACTTACTGCTCAGCTAACACTGAAATGCTCAACCCTCCTTTCTCTGGTATCCAGTTTTCTCATAGCACTGCTGCAGTGTTAGTTTCAGATTAGTTGGCATTCACATGCGGTATGCTGACTGCACAGCAACTACCTCTCTATGAATTTTCAGTGTATTAGCACTTATCAGAATAGATGAAGAAAGGATTCTTGACTTACTCATGTTATCATTTGCATCCTGCTAAAGTGAAAGAAAAAATTCCACTTGTTTCAAGCATACCAGAGTACGTCCGGGCTTCAAAAAGTTTTCGTCACAGTGATGAACACATATTGCTAGGGTCTAATCCATGCATTCGTACACATACATGCACCCACATGCACTTTCTCTCTTTGCAACTCACTCCCAGCTGCATAGAAGCTCCACGTAAAAGGTACGTTTTCCATTAACAGTACCTAGACCATAATTTACAGCTCTGAGATTGTTTCATTTCTTGTCAGATGCAATCTATAATTAGCCATAGGGGCCCTGTTTGTCTGTTCCTATGGTGACTCTGGGTTAAGAGGAAGGAAACAATGACAGTCTAAACTTTTAAAGGCATAACAGAGTAACATAGAAATCAATAAGCCGTGCCATTCAGGCTGTGTAACTCCAGAATCACTTCACAGAAAGTAAGTTGTGGAGTTTTCTGTCTCAACATATGCTTGATAGCTTTCTTATTTCAACAGGTCTCTAATAATAGTCAGAGAAGCACTGATATTGTGGATACAGTCGTAGGGCAAACATGTCAGGTGGCATCTCACCACTGACTTCAGCAAAACTGCATCAGTTTACTATCTGACAATTTGGCGTTTAGTTTGCCCCGGTTTGTCTCATAGGAGCCTTCCGCGTTATGGGCAGGGACTGCCTGGGTTGCTCCCTCACCACGGTGGCAGTGCTTTATTCTAGCACCCATGTCATGGTTTGGAGGACCTTGACACTATTTCACATAAGCATTAACATGTGCTTTCCTGCAACCAGCAGACTAGGAATAAATTGCTCACTGCTTCCTGAACAAAAACCACCACATGTTATATGGTTACTCTGATAAAAAAAGTTCAAACTGAACATTCAAGTAGAAAACAGTTATTCCATTAAAGGGTTCAACTTTAACATTCAAGTGGTAAAAAGCTGTTTAAGACAATTGAGAAGTAACCTCAGAACAGCCCCCAGAGAAAAGAAAGAGTTAAGAACTTTACAGCCTATCCTTTAGGCTAGAGTGTTTTCAAATTTCCTGGCTAACTTTGCACAGATCACTGCAAGTTTCTATTCCTCAGCTTCGTCATCTGTAAAGCGGAGCAAATACAGCTATTGAGTGCTCTGATAGCAGAGTTAAAATATATCCCTGCTAGCTGTGATCCTGCCTTTTGTTTGGAAGGAACAAATTAATCCTGTGACAGCAATCGTCTAATACACAGACAACACTGTTAATCATGGAGGATTATATGCAGCTCATCCTGTGGTTACTACTGTCTGTGTCCATCTCATGTAATTTTTACTCTGGCTGGACAGGATTTTCCTATTAATAAGTAATAGGTAGAGAATAATTAATTCTCTGATCTATATAGAGTTGATTTCCACCTACAAGTAAGACCAAAGGGTTTACACAGCTACTGACTTCACGCGGTTCCACATGAGCGTGAAGGCTGATGTGTGACCCGTGCAGGACACGGAGACCTGGGCTCTCACGCCCCAAGTCACAGAGCTTGGCAGAGGAAGGTCTTTCCTGGGTTCTGCTACTCGGCTCTTCCACGAAGCTCTGAAGCTTCTCAATGAAGGAAACAGCAAGGCAGTGTGTTTTGAAAAAGTAAAGGGGCCACCTTACCTTCTCCGACTGTTAACAGCAATGCACACTGCAAGAATCAATGCAAGTGCCACAAGAGCGGCAACTATGATCAGCCATTCTGTGGGGAGAGGGAAGGGAGGGGAGGAGAGCGTGTTAGCGTATCGCTTGTAGTTTTGCCATTTCATAGAACTGCAAGAACAAAAGCTCTTTTACATTCTTTAAACTGCCAGACTGTTTTCCCTAGCTTACAGGAATGTTTGTTTGTTCTACAAAGTGCTTGTGCACAAATTGAATACATTTTCACCATTCAGGCCAACTCAGATGAAATACCCCGTTACTGTTAGCTCCTATGAGCACTGTACTTTGGTGGACATTGCTCCAAGAGCAAAAGAAAAGGCTTAGCAATGATACACCTGCAATCCCAGGCACAAAAGCAGGATGACTTTCAGGTAGACTGAAATGTTCATTTTTTCATTTAAAACCTTATTTTAAGGGGTATTTGGGGGGCAAACTCTAAAAAAAAAAACAAAAACAAACTACAAAACTGGAAGGGACCCTAAGAGGTCGTATCAGCTACATTTCACTCCAGTGAGACAGGGTCAATAAGGAGACGGCTGAGGGTGTTGCATTTGCTCTTAACGTTTTTAGTAAACAAGATTTCACAACCTTCCCAGTAGCCTATTCTTTATGCTGTACTAACATTATAGACAGAGATCCTCTCCTAAGAGCTAACTCCTTTGTTTGTTTGAAACAAGTCTCCCTTGTTTAACAAGTCTCCTACATTTCATTTGAAACAAATTACTTCTTCTAATTAGTTAATTATTATTACTTATGGTGAAAAACTGATAAACATTCTTTTTGTTGCATACTATTCTCATATCTCCCATTAGTTTTCTCTGAAAATGATGAGTTCTTCAAAAGCTGCTTCAAAGGTTACCTTTCCAAAATTTTCTTTGTGCTCTTCTTTGTTTTTTTTTCTCTGTGATTAATGCAATGCCTTGAACTGAATGCAGAGCTTCAGCTCTGGACTTGGTAGGCCTAAGTAGAGTGGGATAATTTTTAAAATGAAATGTTTTAAAAATGACTTTACTGTTAATAAATCCCAGAATATATTTGCATTCTTTTGCAGTTGTATCATGGTGTTGGCTTCTTTCTGTTCCGTTTTAATCTGCAAGCCCTATTCTGGAACACTTGCCTCAGCTATTACTTTCACCAAACATTCTCATGGATATGATAATTTGCATATATCTTTACTGAATTTTGCCTGATGTCATATCAATTTATAAAGCTTATTTGGATGTTAATCCCATTCTACAAATGCATGATTTCTCTCATCTTGATATTGCTGGAGAATTATAAGAGTTACAGTATGCTCCATTTTTCAGACTACTAGTGAAAATGCTGAGTATTATCTGATTCAGAACAAAGCGTGGACAACTGTACTTGACCTACATTTTAATCTCTTGCTTCAGTTCATATTAATACAACTCTGTGCTTAAATTGTTAAAACATTTGACTTCAAAAACCTACCTGGTACCTGGGCTGACCTTGGTTGTGAAACTATTTTTGTTGTTGTGGTCTCTCCAGGAAAAGTAGTATATTCGTAATGTCCCTTGTGTGGTCCTTGATTACCATATATACTGGAGGTAGATCCTAAAGAACAAAACTATCTGTTAGGCCAAATATGCTTAGTGAATATTTATCAGCGACGTACAAAGACTATGACTTTCACAGTTAAAAAACCATGTTCTAGAAAGATCATGCTGAGGTCATTGAAAAGTATTTATACTGAAAACTCTTACATAGATTATAGTCATCATACTCATCCGAACTATGGCTAGTTTTAGTATTTTGAATAACAAAACTCACAGTTTTCCCCTCTTGTCTTTCTCATATGGTTCAGTTTTGATTATGCTATGTTTTTGTGAACCAAAATGCAGTTATAATTGCCTAGAAATTTTGTGGCGAAAATATGAAGATGTGAATGGTGGCAACTTTCTGAAGAGGCCTTTGTCATACAAGTCAAACACCGTGTCTGTACCATGGGGAAAAGAGAGTGAGAAAAGAAGAGAGAGAAAAAAAAACACCCACAACTTTACTTTCTTATTTAAACCTAAAATGACCAATACAGAGATATTTTGAAACTTTTAATTTTATTCCTACTCAGGATAAAACTGACTTTCTAAAACTAATGCTTTCATAAAACAGAAGGATAGTTCTCTGAATTGTTTTAAATTGATAGCTATGTATAGAGTGGGACTTTATTTTTCCAAATAGAAAAAAATGCTCTCTGTAATCTTAGAAGTGGATCCCCTGGTTCTTCTTAATAAGTTGTGTAATTCGGTTCTAAGACGGTATTAGATCTTAAATCAAAATGCATACTTCCAGTCTCAAGTATTTGCTATGCTGGCCATACCGCTTAACTTTTATGCAATTACATTTCTGGCTCATGCTGTTGCCATATGGGTATCCCAAGTCTAAAATTATCAGCAGACTACAGATACAGTGATTTCATTTGGGACTACTACTTGATGAGCACTACAAAAAAGATATTACAGATCTCCACCTCTCTGAATTCTTCCAGACTCTGATAGAGCAAATTAAGCACTTACTCTAATCAGCTGTAAAGTTCTTTTTCTTTTTCTTTAATACACACTGCAACTCATTTCTACCCAGCACTTCTGATCTCATTTCCTAATAGCAGCTGGTAAGTACAAAACTGAGAAGCACGTTTTTTCCCCCTCTGTTAAGCTTATCCAGCAAGTAGTTCATGAATCTTCCAGATGTTTTCATTCTTTTTATTAACAAGAAACTTACTGCCTGGTGAGTTGTTTTGTGCTACCTCACCACAAAGGACAGAGCACTAATTCAGCAACTAAGGGTCCTGATCCAAGAAAGCTGACCAAGAGGAACATACTCACTTGTCTACTCCACATCTCAGCAGATTATTTTTTTTAAGGTGCTTTATATCATCCTGAGAAATGCCAGAGCTTTTCCACCACAAAGCCCCTTATAAAGGCACTCAGACATTTATTAAAATTAGTGCACTTAGAGAACTGCTACATTCACCCTTCCCCTCCCCTGAACACTGAGAAGATGACACAGGATTCAGTTATGTCCCCTGCTGTTCTGGCTTGCAAGTGGCAGGGAGGGATCCTCAAAAGCTCTCTACATTTCATTTTGATGACATAGTAGATTTTTTTCTTTTTGACAGTTATTTTTTGTGTTCCTTCAGTGGACTGATTTGTTACTCCGTGGACACTTGGGCAACAAATCAGTCATTAGTGTGATGTAAGACCACAGCTTAAACATTTCTGTAGAGAAAAAGCAAGTGAAAGAAAGCAGTATAGTACATCAAGCCATTTGTTTGTTCAGAGAAAGCCTTTAACTATAGTCTGCCAATACATTCATGAATCTTTTCCATTCCATTACGGCTATATAGGGCAACATTACAAATGAACCCTTCAATAAATAAACTTTTTTATGATGATGGTAGTGTCCTAGTAGTTCCCTTGTATTGTGTTTATATAAAGCACCAAGAGAAAATAAATGAAAAAAGGAAGAGTTTGGGGAATATGGCCTTATAAGCCTTTGCCAGGGCACTGACAATGCAAAGATTTGACACAGACATTCACCTTGAAAATGATCTTCAAACCAGTTCTTACAGGTTTTATGTGCTCAAAACAAAAAGGTAACAAACATGTTTTCATAGTGTGTAATGTCTTCACATAAAGTTAAGGAGGCAGCTTGGATTAATTAAGTGAACAGTGCAGTGAAATTCAAGAAATTAGTTTGTTTTAGTAGGAAACCATTATTAAAAAAAGATTTATCTTTCCAATAAAATTCTATCAAATACATATTTTGCATTTACATTGCTGTGCTTATGTTAAAATACTATAACTCAGGCAATTTTGATAGGGTTGATTTTACTGGGTTTATATAAATTCTGGGAAAAAAAAAGTAGGCCAAATTCTACCTGACAACGTATGAATTAACATTAATTCATTAATTACTAACAGAATTATCTTTAAGGTTTTTGCTGTATAATACTATAAAAATATAGGTACATATTCTTGCTTATGTGCAAAGAACGTCCACAGAGCATTGGCCAAAATCTACACTGGGATGGTTCCACTAACTTCCAAGAAAGTACATGAAAATAGTATTTGGATTAGTGTGCATGAGAAGTAGCATTTGGAAAAAACCTTACTGTTAGAATGGTTATTTGTATGGAAACTGCATTTCGGAATAAGGAAAAGTCCTTTCATTTCCCATACTACTAGCATGTGACCACACACACACAAAAAGAAACACTATATGTAGTGTAATAAGTAAACACTGTTACTGTTAACTGCAGCAACTCTATCAGAAGAATAAACCTTTGGAAAAAAAAAAAAGAAGTTGTTCACAAATTAAATGTCAGTTACAACCCAGTAACATACCTATAATTAATCACTGGCAAGATAACAACAGTAAACAAACCAAGAAAAAAAAGGTTTCATGGAGAATTACCTTTCTTTTGATACATATTCAACTAGAGGGAATACAGGTGGAAGAAAAAGTGACACACAGTTAAGTGTTACATAGCTATCATTTGTGCCCAGCAAAAAAGAAAGACAAAATGCTATCACCTATGTATGGGCATGAGGAGAAAGTTTACACTTGTTCACTTTAATAGTTGAGTTACCATATACAGATAACAGAATATTAGAAAAAGTTATTTTCAAAACACTATTTTCAGTGTTTTAGCAAATGTCCCCTGCTTTGCACAGGAAGAGAGTCACTTTAACGACATATTATAAGCAGGTCATAAAAAAAAAAAACAAACCAAACCAAAAAGGAAATAATAATATGACAATAATTTACATTTATGCTTAGTACACATTTTTGGATGATTGCTGTTGTCCGAAATAATAACTGACCAATGGATAAATGAAAATGCTCTCAATTTGTAGTTCTTACTAGTAGGAAGAGGGGTCTGCAATCGGTTAAGATGATCTTCCGTGTCTGGAAAAACTCCCGGTATCCAGTCGACGTGGGAACCGCCTGTGGCGTTTGCTCGTTCGCTTTCAGTCGCAGGCGGAGTGCCGGGTGCCGGCGGCTCCTTGGTTGCTGTCTCTCGGTTAACATCACCCACGGACTCTGTGACTGCCATGACGATGGCATGATCAGCTTTAAAGGTGAGCACGCACAAAACCACCACCCACGTTATCGCCCTCTTTCCCGTACCACGGCAAGCCCGAAAGCATGTCCATCTTCCTCAACCATAGCACAGAAGGAGAGCAGACATGAAGGCCTCCCCTTCTTCCTCCACACTGTCACTGGCTTCTGAGAGACCTGTAAGCACCACATACATGCTCACCCTGTTGGAGGGAGACCTTGGCTCCATGTGCAGAGCCCAGTGACAGATGGAGAGGGAAGACCTTCAGAGGAAGAGACCGCAGAAGCAGCAACCTGACCCTGTAACTCAGGAGTGAGCGGCCATGCTGCCGCCAGGCCCGTGGCGGTCTTGCCTGGCAATCCACTGGTGAGGGCGACTGAGGAACTGAAGGCAGAATTTGTGGGACGTAATTCTTCTAGGATTGCCCTGCCCTCACCACCGGGACAGCACTCCCCGGCGATGGTGCTGCTGCTGAGTCACAGGAGCAAGCCATCTGATCAACCCACCAGAGCACCTCCACCACACCGATCATGGTGCCAAAGCGAATCGAGCCTGATCCCACTGACGCGCAAGAAAGGAAGATGCGGCCGGCGACGCAGAATCACCCAAGTGCGTGTCTTGCAGAGCAGTCAGGAGGCCGCCCAGAAACATGCTTCAGCAAAGGACAGAAAACGCCAAGTGTACCAGCAAGGAGGCCCTCGTGCCTTGTCCAGAAGGTAATTCTATCAACAGCACAGATCCCACCACAGATTTTTGCACTGCAATTCCACACCGAGAACGTAGAACCCCAAGGTGAGGAGGACAGGGAAAGGAGTCGATTTCAGAAGAAATAATGTCTCATTTCGCACCAGGCATGAGAAATGAGTATGATCCATTATTCTTACTGGTACCCATCAGAGAAGAGTCATCATCAGCTTTGTTCGAACTAGCCGTCGTCCTGTGGTGGACATGCTCCTCAGGGGCATCTGTGGGACGTGCGATGCCTTCAGTGCCCCATCCTGGTTCATGATCTGAAGGGAGAGGCGGCCGAGTTGGGTCTTCGTGGTGGGCACCGTCAGGAGAGGCAACAGCTGTTATCATGATGATTTAATTGGCTGTTACTTCCATGTGGGTGCTGCCTTGCCCCTCCCATTCCACCACGCTCAAGTCTCCTGTTCACCTGAAACAACTGGTACCCCTTTCTCACCACAAAAGGGGAAGAGAAGGGAGACCTTCTGTCCTCCCGTACATCATCACTGCTCTCTCTATTGATCAGACATTTTCATGTGCTGTTCTCATCCACTTTTTTACTTAATCCAAAAGATTCCCAAGGACAGTGGACACAGGGAAAGGAGATAGACACAGCTGTCAGGAGAATTCCCTGACTTGCGTCTCAGGCTGACCACAGAACCTCAGCTTCAGGGACACTGTCAAGTCCTGCTACAGCGCGTTTTACATTACAGATATTAGTACTGACGGTTAAGAACCCTTTCTACAGGCACTGATCCTCCTT